TCCAATCAATTAAAAAAGAAAGTTGATGGTGCATAAATTTAAGGAGCACTTTCCTCCCTTATTGAAAGTCAAGTATGCCCACACATACTAATAAAAACCCAAAGAACCTCTTACATATAAGATTATCTCTTATCAAGATAATGACCACCAAAATGATGTCAATCAGATCATCCCTTATCAATGTTGATGTTGTCATTCAACAACTAGTGCCACTTGATATAAATAAAAAAGTTAAATGATATGCACTATAAGAAATTTTATCCATAAGGATATCTTGCTTCTTTCCACTTGTCACAAGTTTAGAGGGTATTTCATGGAAGCCTCCAAGAATAACTTATGAAATCTTATAATATATGCCTCCACAATAGTTGCACAAACACATTTTAAAAAATATGGCATAAATTCAAAAAATTATTCCTATTTCACATAGATTGATCTGTTAACATTGATATAATATCTTCAATCTAATGTGAAAATATAAGAAATGCTTTAAGGAATCTTCAAATTGAGTAATGTTTTACAATTCTTCCCCTTGAACTAATATTGTCAGTAACTTGGATCTCCTCTATGAATTCTCTCCAAATTCCACACTCTATAATCTTAATGCCCCAATAGGCTTGCTGAAACAAATACTTGTAAGAGGTCTCAAAAGTATATATATATATATATATTATATATATATATTATAATATTCAACAAAAAGGTACATTCATCAAGTAATAATATAACTTATTAGGAAAATTTTATTGTCCAAAGAGATTTTTTCTTTATCTTATATGTTATATTCATATGACTCACCAATGAGATTAATTGTATAATGAAAACAAAGTCCACATGATCATATAAAAGCCTTTTAATCATCTTATGCCTGAATTTTGTTTATAAGTATTCTTCTATTTAGGAACCAAACTCTTTTATTTTATAAGTGTCTATGAAGACTTTTACTAAAATAAAATTACATCACAAAAAATATTGGTTTTTTAAAAATTAAAACAATTAGATTTTTCAATCATAAAAGGCACGACGATCAAATTTAGAATTATGTTTTGGTATTAAATATTTAAATTGTTGTAAGTGGAAGCTTCAAAGTTCAAATAAGAAAGATGTGACACAAAATATTTAGGGTATGAAAAGAGAAAATTCATTATATTAGAGTTTGCAGGTGTCTACAAAAGCTTGTAGGTGTCTATTAACTTTATGGTTGCCTATTATGTTTAATGGGTACACATTAAGTATTGAAATTTTAAAACTTGCATTTTATCAAATTTTTATTTATTTACCATATTTATCCTTTTTTAAATGTACACTATCACAAGTACTCATACAGATGGATATACCATTCTCATGTGACATATAATTACATAAAATTGATCCTCAAGTAAGAGTTATCTAAAATGATTAATGAGTTAATGATCCATATTAAAAACTTTATAACCATGTGACCTCGTGCTACATTTTCTTTAATAAAATAGTGAAAAAAAACTTTATATGCTTCATTTTATAGTGTCACATAGGATTTAATAATAAATTTGTTGTACTTAATTAAGATATGATATAATCTAAGTCTATAATCTTCAAGTTATTTCATATTCCATAATAGCTATGTAACACAAGTACCTATAGTGATTTATTTTATCTTTGTAGTGGATGAAGTAATAGAATATTGCTTCCCAATAAACCAAATATTGTGACAAAGTCTTAAGAACTAATAAGTATTTCAGGTGCTCTTCAAAATCTATTGTGTACCCAGTATTGTCAACATCAGAGTAACCAATAAACTTAAACACAAACTCATTCTTAGGATACAACAAACCTGTATTTGGTACACTAATCAAGTATCTAAAAATCTTTTTTACTATAATTAGATGGGACTCCTTTGTCTTAGTTTAAAATCTAGAACATTTATACAACAAATATTATGTTAGTGGTCAAGTAATATAATAAGCCCATCATGTTTCTATAGAGTTTAAACTCCCATTAAGGTCCTTATCTAACTTAGTTGAAGGACTCATGGGTATACTTATACTTTAAAACCCTTCTTATTAAACAATCTACTCAAATCACCGACGTACTTCATTTGAAAAAAAAAAAAAAGAAATTTCATCAACTCTTTTTGTCTTAAAAAAAAAGAACTTCCATCAAACTCATTGCTCTTTATGTCTATAAACTCTTACATTTGGATTCATTTATGGTTAAAAACATAATGTTATCTATATAAATTTGAATCCCAATAGTATCATCTTTAATTTTCTTTATAGATAACAAAATGCTTACCTTCCCAGAACAAAACTTAGGCTAATAAAAATGAGCTTAATCTCTCATGGCAATCCATAAGGGTTTGTTTTAATCCATTGAGAACATTCTTTAATTTGAACACACAATCTGATTGTTCTATAAAGAATGGTGGCTATAATTCCAATTTGAAAGACTTTTCTTACATCTATCTCATACAATTTAAATTCTATATAATCGAAAAGTGCTAAGCCTAACACAATCATAAGGTAAATGAATACTATCTTTAAGACTTTTATAGGATAGTTTTATGTTATATAATTTGATGAAATATTGACTTTAGTCCAAGCTAAATAAACCATCTACACATATTATTTGACATCTAAAACTCTTAACTATCGAGATATTGCCCGTTTTAGCCCAAGCCCTCACGGTTTTATCATATTGGTGTAACTTCCTAGGGGGTCACCTATCTCAAAATTTCTTCAAGAAGGGCACGCTTAACTATGGAGTTCCTTAAATGATATTCCAATCATTACACAGAAGGCGCCTCAAAGTTTAAGAGTTTAACTTCATTTACTTAAAAGGTTTTACAATCTCTCCCACCTAAGTAACTAGCCCCTCATCAACATCTTTATCCTAAAATCAGCTACCAGGCATCTTGGATTCTAAAGATGGCCCTACAAGTTCAAGTGGTGACTCTTGTTATGTAGCATTTTGTCCCATAAAGGGTTTAAGAGTCAGCTCTCGTGGCATAACACTTTGTCTTGTATGACAATTCCCATCTTCTGGCTGTGTATTGCTTTGACAACATTTGTAATACCCCAAACGCTTAACTATCGAGATATTATCCTCTTTGGCTTAAGGGTTGCATGAATTTGTCCTTTTGGTGTAATTTTTTAGTAGGTTACCTGTCCCATGATTTCTCTAGGATGAGCACATTTAACTGTGAAATTTCTTAATAAAATTCTAACCATTACATCAAAATGTGTCTCGATGTTTAAGAGTTTAGCTTCTTTTTTTTTAAGGGGTCTCACAGCATATTCTTAAAAATTTATGTCCTTTGGCAAGTTTAAGTAACTCGACCAAAGTTCCCAATTACTATGTTGTTGTCGGCTGAGTGCATACTAGAAAAAAGGTCCTCACTAACCTTAGGAGAGAGTGACTTTATCCACAACTAGGTGTATATCTTTCAGATTAAGCATCTCCTTTTGAAATCAAGTAAAAAAACTCATCAATGACTCACTTGGTTCTTACCTCATTCATAGTAATGCTTGAGGACTCTTTTGTGGCCTTTACTTGCTGACGACTTCTATTATGAAAATCCCCTTAAATTTGATAAAAAAAGTCATAATATAGAATGTAAAATATAAGAACTATCTTAGAGGTAATTCCTTAAAAATGGTGAAGAATAGCATACACATCAATACATTGAGAATATTAATGAGAGAAACATCTAGCTTAAATTAATCGATATGGTTTGTGGGATCCATCTTTCACTCGTATTATTCTAGATGAGGGGTTTTGAACTATGTTGGTTGCTTGGCCTTAATAATCCCCCTTAGGATGGCACTGGCTAGCGATGAATTCCTTATCTTAATTCTCCTTTCCTCCTGACAAAGATTCGAAGTTAGCTCATTTTTAGTACTATACGTCTCATCAACAAGTGGAGTAGAGGTCAAGGCTCTAGCTATAAAGTGTTTTTCTCCTCATCATAGAATTAGAGGATCCTTCAAGCATTTCCACTTTCTCTGAGTGGTTCCTAGCATTCTATCAAGTTCTCCCTAGATTATTCAACTCATCCTCTCGACAAATAGCTATGAAGTTTTGGTTCTCCATGTTAACGAACTCTTCTCCTCCTATTTGATGTTGTTATACTTCACTTTGTACTCTTCTAATTAATGATATGCTCCATGCTGATTTTACCTTTTATGATATTAAATCCAAAGTTATCAGGGAATCACAGCCAACTACACTAAGAATATTGAGGATAAAAGAAAACATAAAAATAAAGAGACAAATGGAGAAAGAAGAATTCTAGAGTAATTAGCTCTGGGGTTTCAGTAAAATAAGCTTAATTACATGCAATGACATCTTAAATCTAAAATTGGGCTTAGGACTTGAGCATTATATATTTGGATATAAAAAAATAAGAAAATATATAATAATTATACAATGTTAATGTCTTATTAGTCGATGGCTTGATTATCAATCAATAGTTTGTCCCGAGAAGTTATTCCTCCTTGAGAAGTTACCTGGGTTTTCATCATATATAGCAGTAGCTATGGCCAATAGATAAGTTTTGCTTGCCAACTAGGATGAGTTATTGGATCATGTTTACTTGCTTGAGGTGAGTTCTCCTGTAGCCTAGCAAGTATGACACCACGTAGAGCAAGTTAAATTGGTTGAATCAACTTGATTTCTCTTGAACCCATAAACTTAGCTTGGAGCATTTTTTTCTGATGTTTTGGTGTGCAAATGCCCTTTTGGTGATCTTAGCTATTATTGTATAAATCAACTTATTTAATATCCAATAACAATAACTTTTAAGATATCAAAT